ACTGATCAAAACACACGCCACACACTGGCCACAAAGCGTCACACCACCGCCCTGCCTCAGCCCTGCTCTGCCTCAGCCCTGCCCTGCTTCATCCCTGCTCTGCCTCAGCCCTGCCCTGCTCTGCCTGAGCCCTGCTCTGCCTCAGCCCTGCCCTGCTTCATCCCTGCTCTGCCTCAGCTCTGCCCTGCTTCATCCCTGCCCTGCTCTACCTCATCTCTGCTCTGCTCTGCCTGAGCCCTGCCCTGCTTCATCCCTGCCCTGCCTCAGCCCTGCCCTGCTTCATCCCTGCTCTGCCTCAGCCCTGCTCAGGCACAGTGAGGCACAGAGCAGCTCCTGCCCCACACTGGGATCCAGCTGCTGCTGCTCCATGCCAGGATCCAGCTGCTGTCCCACCCTGGGATCCAGCTGCTCCTGTCCCACCCTGGGATCCAGCTGCTCCTGTCCCACCCTGGGATCCAGCTGCTCCTGTCCCACCCTGGGATCCAGCTGCTCCTGTCCCACCCTGGGATCCAGCTGCTCCTGTCCCACCCTGGGATCCAGCTGCTCCTGTCCCACCCTGGGATCCAGCTGCTCCTGTCCCACCCTGGGATCCAGCTGCTCCTGTCCCACCCTGGGATCCAGCTGCTCCTGTCCCACCCTGGGATCCAGCTGCTCCTGTCCCACCCTGGGATCCAGCTGCTCCTGTCCCACCCTGGGATCCAGCTGCTCCTGTCCCACCCTGGGATCCAGCTGCTGCTGCCCCACACTGGGATCCAGCTCCTGCCCCACCCTGAGATCCAGCTTTTTTTCCACCCTGGGATCCAGCTGTTTTCCCACACTGGGATCCAGCTGCTCCTGTCCCACCCTGGGATCCAGCTGTTTTCCCACCCTAGGATCCAGCTGCTGCTGCTGGGGGTCCAGACAAGGCAGAGCTCTCAGGGCTGGGGGGAAGAGGAGAACAAAACCCCACCTCTAAACAAAGCCTCCATCCTCTGAGGCAGCTCCCCAAAGGTGACCACTCCTGGGTTTAAATCCTGGGTTTAAATTCAGTGTGAGCTGTCTGAGAGTAACCAGACCTTCAGCCAAGCCTTACAACTTGTCCTAACTAACTTCAAAGCAGGACTGAACAGCAACTCTGCTGCCCTGAGCTCCGTGCTGGTTTTATTTGTCCTCAGTGAGGCAGGGACTGTGCTCAGGCCTGGACTCTCTCAGGGACACACCCAGCTTCTGTCTGGTGGCAGTAAGAAGTTGTCCCATCAGGAATTTTGGCACACTCAGTGCTGGGAACTGCCCTGGGTAAATCCCCTTTGTGGGGCAGAAGCAGAAGCCAGATCCCACTAGAAAAAAAAGCTGATTTGCAGAAAGGCAAGACCAAAAGTAAGAAATGCCAAGCAGAGCAAAGGAGCTGCAGCTGCTGCTCAGAGAACACAGAGAGGCTCAGCAACTCAGGCCCAGCAGAGCAAACCCTGCAGGAGAGGGAGTGAGAGAAACACAAAACTGGGCACGAGGAGAGGCTGGGACAGAACCCTGGGCAAGAAATGAGAATCAGATTGATGGGGTCACAGCTCGCTGGAGGGGGCTGCAAACTGACAAGGCTGAGTTTAAAAAGGGTCTTTTGGGCAAGATTCAACTAAACACATTCACTTCCCAAGGGCTGCTAAGCCCCCAGCAGAGTGTGAGCCCAGGCAGTGCCCAGCTCAGGGCTCTCCCAGCAGTGCCCAGCTCAGCTCAGGGCTCTCCCAGCAGTGCCCAGCTCAGCTCAGAGCTCTCCCAGCAGTGCCCAGCTCAGGGCTCTCCCAGTAGTGCCCAGCTCAGCTCAGGGCTCTCCCAGCAGTGCCCAGCTCAGGGCTCTCCCAGCAGTGCCCAGCTCAGCTCAGAGCTCTCCCAGCAGTGCCCAGCTCAGCTCAGCGCTCTCCCAGCAGTGCCCAGCTCAGCTCACGGCCCTCCCAGCAGTGCCCAGCTCAGCTCAGGACTCTCCCAGCAGTGCCCAGCTCAGCTCAGGGCTCTCCCAGCAGTGCCCAGCTCAGCTCAGAGCTCTCCCGGCAGTGCCCAGCTCAGGGCTCTCCCAGCAGTGCCCAGCCCAGCTCAGAGCTCTCCCAGCAGTGCCCACTCCCCTCAGGGGGCACCCCTGGCCCCCTGCTGCTGCTGGGGCAGGCAGACTGGCCTGTCATAGGCTGCTATGATGAAGTTGAGCAGCAGGCTGATGGACTGCTCCACGCTGATCTGGTGGGTGGAGGGCAGGCGCTTGTTCAGCTGGTAGTAGATGGAGGAGATGATGGTTTCCAGGCGGGACACGTTGATCTCCGTGCCGTGCTCCAAGGCGTTAAGGCCGTTGTCTCTGAAGGCTTCGATCATGTTCCAGATATCAACCAGGTGAACTGAAAAACAAAGGGAAAACAATTCAATTGTGCCCTGCCGGGCATGCAGGCCCACTGATGGCACTGCTTGGGGGCAGGAGAAGCACAAAGGGACAGACTGAGCTCTTCTGGGGACACAGCAGGGCCCGGGTGTGGCCTTTACTGCTCCCTCCAACATCTGGGTCTGTCACAAACTGCTCCTGCAGGAGCTCAGCCCTCCCCCTGAGCCACAGCTCCTCCCTGGCAGGGTGGGCAGTCGTGGAATTAGGGAATGGTTGGGGTGGGAAGGGACCTTAAAAATCACCCAGTGATTTTTAAGGGACACTGCCACTGCCCCTGGATCCCTGGCAGTGCCCAAGGCCAGGCTGGACATTGGGAGCAGCCTGGGAGGTGTCCCTGCCATGGCAGGGGTGGCACTGGGTGGGCTTTAAGGGCCCTCCCCAAACCCAAAGCACTGTGGGACCTGGTGATGCTCTAAATCCAAACTGCCCGCAGTGATTTTAAACAGCCTCACGCTGACTCCAGTTCCAGTTCAACTCTGACAGTTTCCAGCTGATCCAGCTCCCAGACCCAGAGCATGTTTTATAAACACAGGGCTGGGGCTGCAAAGCACTCCCCCAAATTTCCCTGCTGCCTCCAAGGAGTGTCAACAAGGTGCAGAAAACCTTTTCCAAACCACAGTGAGCGATCTGCAGCCCTTCTCCTGGCCTCTTCCTCCTCTTCAGCCCTCCTGCTGGCCTCCTCTTCCTCCTGAGCACTCCTGCTGGCCTCCCCCTCCTCAGCCCTTCTCCTGGCCTCCTCTTCCTCTTCAGCCCTCCTGCTGGCCTCCTCTTCCTCCTCAGCCCTTCTCCTCGCCCCCCCCTCCTCCTCCTCAGCCCTTCTCCTGCCCTCCTCTTCCTCCTCTTCCTCCTCCTCAACCCTTCTCCTGGCATCCTCCTCTTCCTCCTCAGCCCTACTCTTGGCCTCGTCCTCTTCCTCCTCAGCCCTTCTCCTGGCCTCCTCTTCCTCCTCAGCCCTTCTCCTGGCCCCCTCCTCTTCCTCCTCAGCCCTTCTCCTGGCCTCCTCTTCCTGCCCAGCCCTCCTCCTCCTCTTCCTCCCCCACCCTCCTCCTCCTCTTCCTCCTCAGCCCTTCTCCTGACCTCCTCTTCCTCCTCAGCCCTTCTGATGCCCTCCTCTTCCTCCTCAGCCCTTCTCCTGCCCTCCTCTTCCTCCTCAGCCCTTCTGATGGCCTTCCCCTCCTCAGCCCTTCTCCTTCCTCCTCTTCCTCCTCAGCCCTTCTCCTGGCCCCCTCCTCCTCCTCCTCAGCCCTTCTCCTGGCCTCCTCTTCCTGCCCAGCCCTCCTCCTCCTCTTCCTCCCCCACCCTCCTCCTCCTCTTCCTCCTCAGCCCTTCTCCTGACCTCCTCTTCCTCCTCAGCCCTTCTGATGGCCTTCCCCTCCTCAGCCCTTCTCCTAACCACCTCCTCCTCCTCCTCCTGCCCCCTCAGCCCTCCTGCTGGCCTCCTCCTCCTCCTCCTCCTCCTCAGCCCCCAGCAGTTCCTGTGCCCTGCGATTAGGGATCTCCTCCCACACGTTATCCTGCCTGGCTCTTTGCTGTGTCCAGCTCAGCAGGGGCAGGGCACAAAGTGCATCCTGCTCACCTGGGATCCACCTGGGATCCACCTGGGATCCACCTGGGAGCTGCCCAAGGTCAGAGCCCACGGCAGACGAGGGGAGAACCTGCATTGCCCAGAGCTCTCCATGGTCACTGATGTCACACGTGTCCCCGCAGGGACAGCCGCAGGCAGGGACTGTCCCTGTGCTCACTGGGGCTGCTCTGGGGCTCACTGTGAGGAAAACAGCCCCTCACAGAGCTTGAGACCATCTACACCCAGCTCTGAGGGCAAAGAAACACCAGAGCTCCCTCAGACTTCACATCCTCTGAACACGAAGATATTACAGAGCGTGGGCAAGGCTCGCTGCCTCCCTAATTCCACATTCATTGTGTTAGATCTCTGTCAAACAGGGCTGAGCAGCGCTCCCCCTGCACCCCAGGGGGGCAGTTCTGCAGCAGCCATGCAGCAGGGGGGAGGATGAGGCCGGCAGCACTCACGGTTGCACCTCTTCTGCACGAAGCGCAGCTTGCAGGCGGTTCTGTACGTGGACAGGCGGATCACGTCGAAGTTCTGGGCTCCTGCAACAAACCAGAGCTGTGGGGCTGTGCTTCCCTCTGAGGCAGGGGTGGGATTTAAGGCCCTTTCCCACCCAGACACTCCATGATTCCCTAACAATGCTGCTCTGGAAACAAAGCAGTGTAAACATGTAGTTTGAAGTCAGAGCTCCCTCAGTGTGCAGCTGGAATTCAGGACATGCTGGCCCAGTTCAGGAATTGACTCCTGCAGGACAGCAGGACAATGTGATGTGATGCAAACACCAATTCTCAACTCATCTTTTCCAGAGGAGGATCCTGCACAAACCAGCCCCCAAACCATGTCTCAATTCACACCAGCATTGCAGGGCCATTTTTTATCTTTTTTTAAGGCCAAAGCTGCTCTGTCTGCTGCCACTATCCATTGAAATAGCTCTCCACAACCCTTAGGCACAGATGAGAGATGTGAGCATTCCCTAAGGAAGGAGCTTCACAAAACCTAGGGATAAATGACCTTCCCAGTCAGCTGTGACTCCCCTTGGGCATTCTCCTCCTGAGCAGCCCCCAGGAGCACCTGATGGCTCTCCCTGCATGGGGTTTGGGGACAGGATGGGGCTGATCTGCTGCAGCTGTCCCAGGGAAGCTCTCAGTGAAGAATCAATGACATCATGTCTTCACATTTCCTACTTACTCATCTCCATGAACAGCTGCCTCTTCTCTGCCATGGTCCTCCTCCTCTTCCCACTCTCCTCAATCATCCTGGAGACAAAAATGGCAAACACTGTTTGTGTCACAATTGTGGTACAAGAGCAGCTGGCTGTGAGCAGCAGGATTCTGTCTGGGGATTCCAGGACACAGACAGACACCTCTCATCCTTATCCCATTCCACCTTCCAAGGCAGGGCACAGCACAGGAAACATTCATTCAACATTTCCAGTTTGAAAAGCCCAGAGCTGCATTGATACATGCAGAAATATCCCATAAAGAATTCCTCTGAGCTCTGAGCCAAAAAAGGGAGAGATGCTGCAGTTGGAGACTCTGGGGGACAAGCTCAGCCCACTCCCTTCCCTGGCTGGCAGAGGTCACTGACCCCTCTTCCCTGCAGGATCCTTCAGCTTGGAAAAGGATTTGTGGGGATGTTGGGTTTGGGGGAATGCTGGCTTTAAACAAAACTTGTTAAAATTCATTTAACTTTGAGCCCCGACACCTGAGGTCACGTGGGATTTGTCAGGGAAATAGGGAACTTCAAACGAATTAAGTTGGAAATAAAAACAGCTTGGTGCAGAGGAAAACATGAAAAGAGTGACAGGAGCAGGGAGCAGCTTGTACCCAAGGTAAGGGGACACAGGGACAGTTCAGCAGCTCTCAGGTCTTATTTCACTATACAGTCCTAAAAGATGCCAAATTTCAGTCCACTGCAGCAAAAAAAGGAAAATTAATTCAGGATCAGTGTAAAATCTAATTTATAATTCAACCAATTATTACATTATTCTTTGGTTACCAAATTCACCAACTTAAAAACCATTAAATATAGGTTTTATGTGTCTAACCCCCCCAAAAAATCCCAAACAGATCTCCTACAGTTGTAAGCACACTACAGGAGGCAGCTGGCTCAGCCCAGCCTGCAGCAGCCTCAGGTGGCACCAGGTGCCTTGGCACTGGCACACCTCCCTGAGGAGCAGTCCCTGGGCACAGCCTGGCACTTCCTGAGGTTCCTGCTGGAACCCCACAGCTCAGACCCCCCTCAGCCTTCTTCCTCCTCAGGAAGAACAAGCACATGGGCTCTGACCTGAAAATACACTGTATTTCCATGGTTTAGAAAGCCACAGATCCAGAACCAAGGTGCTGCTGTGTCTTTGCTGTATTTTTTTTTTACAGGAAAAAGCCTCGATGGCATTTTTTATGACTTGTAGAAGTTGGGGGTTTTGGGCACACGAGCTTCCAATCCCATCTCATTCTCCACCAAGCACCTGACAGGGCCATGGCTCCCACCTCTTTCCCCAGGGATTCCTCATCCATGGAACCCTGGAACGGTTTGGGTGGGAAGGGACCTCAGAGCCCACCCAGTGCCACCCCTGCCGTGTCCCAGGGTGTGCCCAGCCTGGCCCTGGGCACTGCCAGGGGTGCAGGGGCAGCCCCAGCTCAGCCTGGCACAGAGGGCACCAGGATGGGAGCTGCAGGGGCCATTCCCCGTGCCTGGACACAGCACCCAGCACTGCCACACACAATGCCTGGATGAAGGGGTCAGGGTGACAGAGACAGACACAACTGCATTCCAGGGGAGCTGAGTGCCACCTCTGTGCCCTCTGCAAGGAAAAGGAGGGACTGAGCTCGTGCAAGCTGGCCCTGGAATGAGACCTGAATGAGGGATCTGCTCTGTCCAAGTGAGACCTGCAGGAGATCTGCTCTGTCCAAGTGAGATCTAAATGAGATCTGCTCTGTCCAAGTGAGACCTGAAGGAGATCTGCTCTGTCCAAGTGAGACCTGAAGGAGATCTGCTCTGTCCAATTGAGATCTGAAGGAGATCTGCTCTCTCCAAGTGAGACCTGAAGGAGGGATCTGCTCTCTCCATGGTCCCAGAACCCTTCAGCAGGAAAATCCCTCCCAGCCCATCCAGTCCCCACTTTGTCCCCTGAGTGCCACATCCAGGTGACACCTGCAGGGATGGGCACTCCAAACCTCCCTGGGCAGCCCCTGCCAAGGCCTGAGCACCCTTTCCATGGGGAAATTCCTCCTGGTGTCCAACCTGAGCCTGCCCTGGCCCAGCCTGAGGCCATTTCCCCTTGTCCTGTCCCTGTTCCCTGGCAGCAGAGCCCGACCCCCCCTGGCTGTCCCCTCCTGTCAGGGAGTTGTGCAGAGCCACAAGGTCCCCCCTGAGCCTCCTTTTCTCCAGGCTGAGCCCCTTCCCAGCTCCCTCAGCCTCTCCTGGGGCTCCATTCCCTTCCCAGCTCCCTCAGCCTCTCCTGGGGCTCCAGCCCCTTCCCAGCTCCCTCAGCCTCTCCTGGGGCTCCATTCCCTTCCCAGCTCCCTCAGCCTCTCCTGGGGCTCCATTCCCTTCCCAGCTCCCTCAGCCTCTCCTGGGGCTCCATTCCCTTCCCAGCTCCCTCAGCCTCTCCTGGGGCTCCATTCCCTTCCCAGCTCCCTCAGCCTCTCCTGGGGCTCCATTCCCTTCCCAGCTCCCTCAGCCTCTCCTGGGGCTCCATTCCCTTCCCAGCTCCCTCAGCCTCTCCTGGGGCTCCATTCCCTTCCCAGCTCCCTCAGCCTCTCCTGGGGCTCCATTCCCTTCCCAGCTCCCTCAGCCTCTCCTGGGGCTCCATTCCCTTCCCAGCTCCCTCAGCCTCTCCTGGGGCTCCATTCCCTTCCCAGCTCCCTCAGCCTCTCCTGGGGCTCCATTCCCTTCCCAGCTCCCTCAGCCTCTCCTGGGGCTCCATTCCCTTCCCAGCTCCCTCAGCCTCTCCTGGGGCTCCATTCCCTTCCCAGCTCCCTCAGCCTCTCCTGGGGCTCCATTCCCTTCCCAGCTCCCTCAGCCTCTCCTGGGGCTCCATTCCCTTCCCAGCTCCCTCAGCCTCTCCTGGGGCTCCATTCCCTTCCCAGCTCCCTCAGCCTCTCCTGGGGCTCCATTCCCTTCCCAGCTCCCTCAGCCTCTCCTGGGGCTCCATTCCCTTCCCAGCTCCCTCAGCCTCTCCTGGGGCTCCATTCCCTTCCCAGCTCCCTCAGCCTCTCCTGGGGCTCCATTCCCTTCCCAGCTCCCTCAGCCTCTCCTGGGGCTCCATTCCCTTCCCAGCTCCCTCAGCCTCTCCTGGGGCTCCATTCCCTTCCCAGCTCCCTCAGCCTCTCCTGGGGCTCCATTCCCTTCCCAGCTCCCTCAGCCTCTCCTGGGGCTCCATTCCCTTCCCAGCTCCCTCAGCCTCTCCTGGGGCTCCATTCCCTTCCCAGCTCCCTCAGCCTCTCCTGGGGCTCCATTCCCTTCCCAGCTCCCTCAGCCTCTCCTGGGGCTCCATTCCCTTCCCAGCTCCCTCAGCCTCTCCTGGGGCTCCATTCCCTTCCCAGCTCCCTCAGCCTCTCCTGGGGCTCCATTCCCTTCCCAGCTCCCTCAGCCTCTCCTGGGGCTCCATTCCCTTCCCAGCTCCCTCAGCCTCTCCTGGGGCTCCATTCCCTTCCCAGCTCCCTCAGCCTCTCCTGGGGCTCCATCAAGGTCCCCCCTGAGCCTCCTTTTCTCCAGGCTGAGCCCCTTCCCAGCTCCCTCAGCCTCTCCTGGGGCTCCATTCCCTTCCCAGCTCCCTCAGCCTCTCCTGGGGCTCCATTCCCTTCCCAGCTCCCTCAGCTCCTCCTGGGGCTCCATTCCCTTCCCAGCTCCTCCTCCCAGGACTCCCATGCAGCCTCAGCCTCTCCTCCAGGCTCCTGCCTGCCTCAAAAGCAGAAGAAGGTTTTTGCTTTTCCCTGGGGGAGCAGCTCAGCCCTGGAGCTGCTCACCAAAGCCACCCAAGGCTCTTTGCACTCACGAGCTGACCCTGCTGCTTCTGAGGGGGGGAAACACCTCGGGGAGGCTCTGTCTGGGCAGGGCACACGTTCTGAGCAGAGTGGGGAGAGAATCCAGGAATGCAAACACAGAATTGTTCAGGTTGGAGAAGCTCTCAGAGCCCATGGAGCACAACCAGCCCCAGCACTGCCCAGGCCACCAGAGTCCCCTGTCCCCAAGTGCCACAGCCACAGGGCTTTGAAACCCTCCAGGGATGGGGAGCCCACCCCAGCCTGGGCAGCTGTGCCAGGCATGGGCAGCCCTTTCCAGGTGGGAATTGTTCCCAATATCCACCCTGTGCCAGGCATGGGCAGCCCTTTCCAGGTGGGAATTGTCCCCAATGTCCACCCTGTGCCAGGCATGGACAGCCCTTTCCAGGTGGGAATTGTCCCCAATGTCCACCCTGAGCCTGGCCCAGCCTGAGGCCATTTCCCCCTGTCCTGTCCCTGTTCCCTGGCAGCAGAGCCCAACTCCCACATTACTGCCAGGGATTTGGGAAAGTGCTGGAAAGGAGGTTCTGTGAGAATAATTGACAAACCTGTTTTTAATCCCTGAACCACCAGACACAGAAGGATCCCTCGGTGATGAGGCTGGGAAGAAGGAAGATGGGGAGTCTTTCTCTAGTTCAAAACAGGAATGAACCAAACCCACAAGAACTGCAACTATGTTTGGGATGCAAATTACAGTGCTCAGCTCCCAAAACAGGGAAGGGAAAAGCAGCTTGGCCTGAGCTGGTTTGGTTTGTTAGGCTGGGCTCTTTGAAGGGGTGGGGAGGCTGGGTTTGGGTTTTGGTGGGGATTTTTTGCGTGGGTTGTTTGTTTGTTTCCTGGTTCCTTGCTTTTTAAAAAATTGCAGCAAAATCCATGAGCAAAGTGCCAGGAAACACAACACGAGCTGGAATGATGTGGCAACCAGGAATTGCTGAGGTGGCTGCTCCCATTCCACGGGCACATGGAGGGGAAACCACTCCAGTACAGAATCCCAGGATGGGTGGGAAGGGACCTGAGAGCCCAGCCAGTGCCACCCTGCCGTGGCAGGGACACCTCCACTGTCCCAGGGTGTCCCAATGTCCAGCCTTGGGCACTGCCAGGGACAGGAAGTGCAGTTATTTGGAAATCCTTATTGAAAAGCAACGTTCAACTAAAAGCAGAAGATGATGCAGTGCCTTAGAAACCTGCAGCTGAGCGTGTCTGATGTAAACTTCCAAAATGTCATCATTTCCCTCCATCCTTTCACAGGT